ATGTGAAGGAATGGATTTAAAGTCTGGGTTAAAAAAATAAAAGAAGAATCATTACAACAGAGAATAAAGCCCAGATATCATCACCAAATTGTTGATAATGGTTTTCTTTGGGAGAGATAATGGTTTGTACTCCCCTTCTATATTATACATTTTTTTTTAAAGATTTTATTTATTTGTTTGCCAGAGAAAGAGAGAGAGTACAAGCAGGGGCGTGGCAGGCAGAGGAAGAAGCAGACTCCCCACTGAGCAAGGAGCCTGATGTGAGACTCAATCCCAGGACCCTAGGATCACGACCTGAGCTGAAGGCAGATGCTTAACTGATTGAGCCACCCAGGCATCCCTATTTTATATATTTCTAAAATATTTGAAGTTTAAAATAATAAGTATGTGCTACTTTGAGTCAGAAAATAATTAAAATATATTTAAAATATCTGTTTTCTTCATTGCCAATATCACCACTAAAGTTTTGGTCCTAATTATCTCTTGCTTGGACTCTTCCAAGCTGGACTCTCAGTACCTCCACGCTCGCTCTAAGCCATTTTCCGCACTGCCACCAGAACTCATCATGTCTAGCCCCTGGGGAGTTCCATGTTACCTATGGAATGACATTCAGACTCCCTGGTGGGACACAGAAGGCTCTTTATAATCTGTTCTCAGCCTTTCCAGCTTTATCGCCCAACCTTCCCTCCCATTCACACTGGACTCCAGCTACACCAGAAATCCTGGCAACCTCCAAACACATTATGCATTTTGATGCCACCTTGCCTTTGCACACAAGACACTCAATCCTTCTCTTTGTGCTTATTTGGCAATTTCCTACTTTAAGACCTCCATTTTTTTTTAAATATTTTATTTATTTGAGAGAGAGACAGTGAGAGAGAACATGAGCGAGGAGAAGGTCAGAGGGAGAAGCAGACTCCCCATGGAGCTGGGATCCCAATGTGGGACTCGATCCCGGAACTCCGGGATCATGACCTGAGCCGAAGGCAGTCGTCCAACCAACTGAGCCACCCAGGCGTCCCGAGACCTCCATTTTTGATGTCCCGCAAAATAATAACAATGACGTGTAATGAGTTGTCTCTTCTCATTGTAGACTATGAATGCTTGAGGAATGGAAAGCTGGGTAGTATTCTGAGAGCACAGACTCTGGAGCCAGACTACTTGGGTTTAAATCGTACTAGCTATGTGACTTCAGATAAGTTAGTTAACCTCTCTGGGCTGCATAGAAAATAGGTTATATTTTATAACAGCAACAGCAACAATAATAACTACCTACAAGTCTATTATATGAATACAAAGCAAGGCCTCACATTTTATTAAAGGGGAGATGGAGAGGAGAAGGGAGTTGAGGGAAATTGGAAGGGGAGGTGAACCATGAGAGACTATGGACTCTGAAAAACAATCTGAGGGTTTTGAAGGGGCGGGGGGTGGGAGGTTGGGGGAACCAGGTGGTGGGTATTAGAGAGGGCATGGATTGCATGGAGCACTGGGTGTGGTGCAAAAACAATGAATACTGTTACGCTGAAAAGAAATAAAAAAATATATATATACAATCTAAACTTCTACCATGACTATGACTATTATTAGTGTTATTATTACTAGTACTGTTACTATTGTAGGTCCTTCATAAATGAACTAATAAGCAGTTTTAGCCTTATAAATGAAACTAAATATTAACTTTTTAGAAGAAATGGAAAGATATATAAAACTTTCCTAATGAATCAAAGTTGAGGATGTTATTCTTAGAGTAAATAGTTCTTATTTTTCTATTATGTACTATAATTACATGAAAATGGAGTCCTAGAATAAAAATATGTACATTAACAAAGTGGCTTTTTAATTAAGTGATTAAAAATTATTTTCTCCACATACTAGAAAAAATGAAAGCTATTTAAGTTTTTCTTCTTAAATACAAAAAAATGACATACAATTATCTATTACAAATTATGCATAGGTTAACTGGTAAATATAGGTGTCTAATGAATAGAGAGTTCATATTTCAAATATAAGGAAGTTTACTTACATCAATTTAGTCATCTGTTTATACACTGAATGACTTGTTTTATCAAATAATTTGTATACGAATGGTAGTCCTTTGAATTCACCAGAAAACACCATCAAGTGGGACATAAGCACATTTTTAAATAATTAAAGATATAATATAGATATATAAAGAGACACTAATTATTCACACTCAGTAAACTCTATGTAATCCTAATTTTTTTTAATCCTAATTTTGAAAAACCCAAGGTCCCACAATTTTACAGAGTCACATATAAACATAATCTAACAGTAAAAAGTCATTTAAAAAAAGTCATTAAAAGAGATTCGAATTGGGGTGCTGGGTGGCTCAGTTGAGCAACTGACTCTTGGTTTCAGTTCAGGTCCTCGTCTCAGGCTTGTGAGATCAAACCTCACATGGGTCTCAACTTGGGAGTCTGCTTGAGATTATATCTCCCTCTTCCTCTCCCCCTGCCCCTCCCCCCCACTCATGCACTGGCTCACTCTCTCTTTCTGTCTCTAACAGAAATAATTTTTTTTTTATACTGACTTATAACTTACAGCATCACTTCTCAAACTCCCTTCCTTCCCCCAGTTCACTCTGCAGCTGCTTTGGAGCTTCTCACCGTTAAGGCTCCCAAAGCCTTCTCATGAAGCGGGTGGTGTCCTCCATCTGATTCTTTCCTGCTCATCTCCCAGTCTTGTCTGCAAATGGACATCAAGTCTAGCTTAGTCTACTTCCCCTGCTTGGCTTCCCTGTACCAATTCTTTTCTCAACTCTCTCTGCTGAAGGAGGGAGAAGGGGTGGGAGCCGTGGTACACAATTACACATTAACTCATCCCATGCATACCACAGATAAAAAGGCTCACTGTAGATCTGTAATGTGTTCCAGCAGTTAAATTATTAATAAATGGCATTCAGAATTAGCTGTTTATCTTCTGTATTATTATTTCCAGAAATGGGAAAAAAAATTGTAAGAAAACAACTTACATTGTTACTTTGAAGAAACAATGTAACATAATTTTGTACCAACTTAATTTTCTAAATAAATATCCAATATGCTAAATTTCTCTATCTTCCAAAAAGCATATATAATATGCAAATGTATGAAATTTATATACATTTTACCATATCAAAAGGAGTGAAGTTACTTTTATTTAATGAATCAATTAATTAATTTTTAGAGAGAGCAAGAGAGTGCCCAAGTGAAAGGGAGTGGCAGAAGGAAAGAGAGAAAGAGAATCTCATGCAGGCCCCACTCAGTGCAGAGCCCCATGCAGGGCTTGATCTCATGACTCTGACATCATGACTTGAGCCAAAATCAAGAGTCCAATGCTTAACCAACTAAGCCATCCCAGCGTCCTGTGGAAGATAGTGTTTTAGATCATGTTCACCACTGCTCTTCTCCATCAGTCAACACAATCTCCAGGACAACCCATTTCAGCATTCTCAAGGGGTCATTTATTTACAAGTTCATGTTTTAAAACTACTATTAATTTATCCTCATTTCCTGAAACACAAATCTGATATTCTTCCTTTCTCTAAAACTCTCCAGTGGCTCCCCATTTCCTTGAGGATAATGTCAAATGCTTTAGAGCTTAACATTTTAGAATCCCCGAAAGTGGGTATAAATTGATCACCTTGGCCTTATTCACCCATGACCAGCCGTGCAAAACATATCCTTGTGGGTCCATTAAAACTTGCAGATCCCGGGGCACCTGGGTGGCTCAGTGGGTTAAGCCTTTGCCTTCGGCTCAGGTCATGATCCCAGGGTCCTGGGATCGAGCCCCGCATCGGGCTCCCTGCTCAGCGGGGAGCCTGCTTCCTCCTCTCTCTCTCTCTGCCTGCCTCTCTGCCTACTGTGATCTCTCTCTGTCTGTCAAATAAATAAATAAAATCTTTAAAAAAAAAAAAAACTTGCAGATCCCTGTGAGCTGCAAGCGAGCACTTTACTTTATAATGTTATTCTGGCACTTGTATATGACCTTCATTGTATTTTTAAAATTGCTCATGTTTCTATAGGAATTGGAGCTCTTGGGAGGAATAGAGATAGTAGTTTCTTTGATTAGTAGTTACTGAGTACTGTGTGCTAGATGCTGTGCTTCATAAGCATCATCTCATTGAAGACTCCTAACAACCTACTCATGTAGGTATTATTATTGACTCCATATTGCAATGAGGAAACCAAGACATAAAGAAGTTAGAGAACTTGCCCAAGGTCTTATAGTAAGTGGCATAACCCTAACTGAAAACACAAATCTTTCTGATGGTATAGAGTCAATGGCATATAATGCAACATTATTTTAGTGTGAAGGTAATATTATAAATTTTCCTTTTATTTTACCAATAAGAAAACTGAGGTTTGGAAAGGTACAGTGTCTTGCCTAAGGTCACAGAACCAGGAAGTGCCAAGAGACAAGAAAAAGGAATAATCAGAGAACAAAAACGAGTTCTTATAAATTAAGAATAGAGTAGCTGAAATGAAAATTCAATAGGGTTTATCTTCAATTAAATGTAAAATTAGTATCTTCCAACACATAAAAAGATAAGAGAGGAAATGTAGAAGACCTAAGAGATCAGTCCTGGAGATTCAACTCTGACTAACAGGAAATTCAGAAAGTGAGAACACAGAAAATGGAAGGGAAGTAATTTTCAAAGAAACAGTATGCAACAGAGAATCTTAGCAATCCACCAAAATCCACTGTCCTCTTCTACCTGGACACTAGACAACATTTCTCAGATTTCCTTAAGAATTAAGGGGCTGAAAGACTGAGTGCTCTCAAATGGAAGGTGAATGGGAGTAAAATGAGCCATTTACAGTGGCTGATAATTTCTTCCATGTATTTTCGCCTCCCTGTGAGATGAAATGGCAAAGTTGAACAAAGTGGTCTTGGAAACCATATTGCTTACCCAACTGAACCACCCAGGCACCCATAGCTGTATACTTTTAACAGCTATTCTATACTCAAACCTACTTTAAAGGAAACCATGAACCTACCCTTTGAGGAGCATAAACAGAATATGAGGATGAGCGCTAATGTACTCCACAGTAGGACTCCGAGTACCTATCTGTCTTCTCAGGATGTTGTTAAATATCTGGGTCACATCTTTTTTTCCCTGTTAAAGAAACAAACCACCATTAAATTACACAATCAAAATAGGTAAATTATATGGAGTGTAAGTTGTATCTCAAAAGCTGTTTACACATAAACACACACAAGGAGAAACAGCACTGTTCTTTGTATTATCCAAAACCATTAATTCATTCTTTTTAGTGACTCAACATTTATATACAATATAAAATGGTCACCATAAGTCTAGTTAGCAGCTCTTACCATAAAAAAGTTAATACACTATTGTTGTCTATATTCCACGTGCTATAAATTACATCCCCATGACCTATTTATTTATTTTTTAAACTTATTCTTGTCATACATCTTTAGTCAGCTGTGCTCCCAAACATTTAAACAGAGGTTTCTACAAACAGATGCAGCTCTTTTCCATTGGATTTGCACTGTGGTTAATTTGAACAACGAGAAGTCTATTTCTCACAGTTGTAAACGAAATGGCACAGAAGAATTTAAAATAGTGGATATGGTACAATTGAATTCCTTATGCTTTTTTACCTTTTAGCTTTATATAAGAAGAAAATTATGATTAACATTTTTAAACAATCTTAAGGATGGAAAATGGATGAAGAAAAAGATTTTAGCAAATGTTGGTTAGAATCAGATTCCTTTTTCTTAAATGTACTTTTTAGTAATTTTTTCCCCTCCACTTTATCCATTCCCATTCCAAGTTGGTGCATTTAAAAAAAAAAAAAAAAGAATGTGAGTTTTTCTGTTAGGTGGGTATATATGATTTAGGTGATTGTAAGAAATCATATCTAACCTAGAGGAATAGAGAGGACTACTCAGTCCTAGCAGCTGAAGCAGAATAACTATAGCCAGTGTTGGATGGGACTTTTTTGAGTCCTCATTTACAAGACTTCCACTCTCACACATCCTACAACCTGAGGCTTGTCTCCTTCTCCAACTGAAGCTCTGAACTGAACAGTTTTTGTTTTGTTTTGTTTAAAGATTCAGTTTATTTATTTGGGAGAGCGTGAGAGAGAGCACGAGCAGGGAGGAGAGAGAGAAGCAGGCTCCCTGCAATCAGGGACCCCGATGGGAGCATGACCTGAGCCAAAGTCAGACGCTTAACTGACTGAGCCCCCCAGGCACCTTGAGTTTTTTGCTTCTTAAGATTTTATTTTTAAGTAATCTCCACACCCAATGTGGGGCTTTAATTCACAACCCTGAGATCAAGAGTTGCATGTGCTTCTGACTGAACCAGCCAGGGGCCCCAAACAGTTTTTTATATGAAAAAAAAGGACGACATTCCATTGTGAGTTACTACGGCCCTGATTTTGGTCTTCATCTCTCAAATGAACTGTTAAAGATTATCTTCCAGTTATGTCCTCTACTCAAAAAAGTCTTCACTGGGCTGAGTGAGCTAACTAGAAAAGCAAATCTGACTGTGCTCTTCTCTTAAGCTCTTCAATGCCTTTCTTTGGCTTAGAGAAAAGTCTGACACCCTCCATGACCTAGCCCTTGCTTACCTCTCCAGCCACGTCTCACTTTTCAATTCCTACTTCAAGTTCTATTAATAACAATGGACGGTACTACATAAAGGTATACACAACTTTCATTTCTATACCTTTGCTCCTGTTCTGCTTGTCCTGAATTCTTTTCCTTCCTTTTTGTAGCTAAGTCTTAGTCATCCTGTAACAGGGGCGCATGGGTGCCAAGAGCACCTGACTGCAGGGTTCCCAAAAAGACCAGGTTTCAGCCACTCATCGCTGACAAAATCCAAAGGCAGAGATATGAGTGGTGGTGTAACAAGAAAGGAATTTATTTCAGTGAGGCCAGCACCGGGAAGACAGTGGACTAGTGTCTCAGACTATCTCCAAAGTGCTGAAAAATACTTCTGGGTTTATATAAGGAAAATGTGGGACAACGTTTGGTGGGTACATGTAGGCAAGCAGTAAAGATCATTGTCTTGGGGTCAATCATGTGTGGTCTTGCTGACGTCAGGGTAGACGTTTTTTGCTTGAGGGAGTAGTTTCAGTTCCTATCACGGGATGCTTTGCCTGCAGGGGTCTTTCCCTTGAGTTAAGAGATAAGCGGGAAAGAAGAACTTAGAAAGTACAGACAGGTCAAAATGGAGGTCGTTGAAGTGCTCTTTCAATACAACAGATTCAGTTCAGACGTATTCACCTCTAGGATAACTGCCCCTCTCTGTGTGACAAAATCATCTTTGCCTACATACACCAGTACCTCCTCTTCCTTGTCTACCCCTACCTCCATCTCTACCACGGTCATAGCAGCTAACATTAAGTGCTTACTCTGTGCCAGGCACTTATACAAAGAACTTTGTATGTATTTTCCAATCCTCCTAACAACCTTATAATGTACATTCTGTAAGTAAGGAAATTAAAGACTAGCGAGGTTACCTTATATAAGTGGGTTGTTGGAGAGCCAGGACTCCCTCCAAAACTGATGGAATCCAGAATCTGGGTTCTTAGCCATCATACTAAACTGATTCCAGCACCAAACACAGTATACTGAAATGAATTTTGTCTCTAACTCCTTCATCACATTGATAGCTCCCAAGGACAAGCCATATTTCAATTCCTGTAGTAGGGTCTGACATATATATAGCAGGCATTCAATATTTATTGGACTGATTTATTACTTTAGAGGCATAGGCATCTATAAGCCCTTTATCACAAATCTAGACCACTGAATCTCATGCATCTATTAATGTGGCACTTTTTAAAAAGATTTTATTTATTTATTTGATAGAGACACAGAAAGAGAGAGGGAACACAAGCAGGGGGAGCAGGAGAGGAGAAGCAGGCTTCCCACTGAGCAGGGAGCCCAATGTGGGCCTCGATCCCAGGACCCGGGGATAGTGGCCTGAGCCAAAGGCAGACGCTTAACGACTGAGCCAGCCAGGAGCCCAATGTGGCAGTTTTTAATACCAAAACAAGTAGGACCCAAAATTAAGACACTAAGATTATTTAATTAATTAGTCAATCTTAAAACTACTAGCCATATAAAATATGGACTAAGTACTGATTAAGAATGCTAATTGATATATAGAAAAATTTTCTTTTTTTTTTTTTAAGGATTTTATTTATTTATTTGACAGAGAGAGAGAGATCAGAAGTAGGCAGAGCAGGAGGCAGAGAGGGAGGGGGAAGCAGGCTCCCTGCTGAGCAGAGAGCCCAATGTGGGGCTCGATCCCAGGACCCTGAGACCATGACCTGAGCTGAAGGCAGAGGCTTAACCCACTGAGCCACCCAGGCGCCCCATAGAAAAATATTCTTAAAGGATTCACTTTATCAACAATTGGCTTGAAATGGATCATACTTAAATGTAAAACATAAAACTATAAAACTTCTAGAAAAAAAGAGAGGAATATCCTCAGGATCTAGAGTTAGGCAAATAATCTAAGAGCACAATCTAGAAAACAAAAACTAACAAATTGGACTTCAGCAAAATTCAGCATTTTTGTTTTGTAAAAGATCTTGTTAATAGGATGAAAAGACAAGTTACAGACAGGGAGAAAATACTTCATACATATGATTAAAAAGAACTAGTGCTAGAATATGTAAAAAAGCCTTTGAACTTAGTAGTATAAAATACAAACCAATTAGAAAATGGGCAAAAGATATGAAGAGACATTTCACCAAAGAGGATCTACAGATGGCTACAAGCACATAAAAGATGTTCAACATAATTAGCCATTAGGGAAATGCAAATTAAGGTCACCAGGAGAGATTACTACATATACCTATCAAAACAACTAAAATAAATAATGACAACACCAAAAGCTGACAAAAATGCAAAGAAGCTACACTTGGACGTTGTAGGTGGAGATCTAACGTATATAGTTGATCTGGAAAACAATTTGGCAGTTTCTTGAAAAACTCAACAGGTGGGGTGCCAGGTGGCTCAGTCGTTTGAGCATCCAACTCTTGGTTTTGGCTTAGGTCATGATCTCAGAGTCCTGGGGTCAGGCCCCACATCAGGCTCTGTGTTGGGTGTGGAGCCTGCTTGAGGGTTTTCTCTCTCTGCCCCCGCTGCCTGCTCTCTCTCTCTCTGAAGTAAATAAATCTTTAAAAAAATAAAATAAGGGGCACCTGTGGTGGCTCAGGTCATGATCTCAGGGTCCTGAGGTGGAGACCTGAGTTGGGCTCCCTGCTCAGTGGGGAGCCTGCTTCTCCCTCTCCCTCTGCCTGCCGCTCCCCCTGCTTGTGCTCCATTCTCTCTGATAAATAAATAAAATCTTAAAAACAATAATAAAATGAAATGAAATAAAATAAAAACAAAATAAAAACTTAACATGCCACTACTATACTAGTAGTTGCCCTCCTGGTATTTATCACAGGGAAATGGAACCTGGCCGTGAATGTTCCCAGCGGCTTTATATGTAATAATCAAAAGCAGGAAAAAATCTAGAAATCTTTCCACAGGTAAATGGTTCAACAGACTGTGCTATATACCCATACCACGGACTCAGTGATAAAAAGGAATGAACTTTGATGCATGCAACAACCTGGATGAATCTTAAGGAATCGTGCTGAATGAAAAATGTCAGTAACAAAAGGTTACACAATCTAAGTGTCCATCAACAGAAATATGGATAAGGAAGATGTGGTGTATTTATACCATGGAATATTACACAGCCATAAAAAGTACAAGACTGTGCCATTTGAGACATGGATGAACATAAAGAGTATTATGCTAAGTGAAATAAGTGAGACTGAGAAGGACAAATACCACAAGATTTTCCTTATATTTGGAATCTAAAAAATACAACAACCCACAAATGAAGAAGCAAACAAAATGGAGAATTAGATCTATATATGCACAGAACAAACTGATGGTTGCCAGAGAGGAGAAAAGCGGGGGATTGGGTAAAATGGGAGAGAGGGAGTAGGAGATACAGGCTTCCAGTTATGGAATAAATAAGTCAAGAGAGCATAACAAATACAGTCAATGAGACTGTAATAGTGATAGATGGGAAGAGACGGTAGCTACACTTGCAGTGAACATAGCATAATGTAT